CGGGTACTGATCGACCAAAAGTAGAAATCATATCAGACAACCTACATGGATAGCCAAAACGCTTTAGTATAACACAAAGTCTTTCTGTTGAATCACAAACGGTACCATTCGGGCATGTGAAGGTATCAGGCATCTGTTAAACATTCACCAACGATGAGATGTCACTCTTTTCAAATCTGAAGTCTGCCTTACACTCTGCGGGGTCTTTATTTTCGAGGGAAAATTTTTCATAATCCAGTGGCGAAACGGAAGGTTTTGGGGAGTGAATTCTTCATACAGCATGGCAAATTCTTCGTCATCTATTAGCTTTTCTTCCAGAGAAAGGAGCCAAGTTTCCTGTAAAGTCTTATATGAGTTTTGAGTCATTCTTGTAGGGAAAGGTGAAAAGTGTTTTCACTGTTTTCCAGACCCTAACTACTAGTCTAAATGATCGCGTTGTTGATCTTAACTACATATTTCCCGCGCTTAGAACGCAGTGCTCACTCCAGCCCCACTCTCGATCCTCACGTTTTCCAGACCACCGCGTTCTAGGTTCTTAAAGTCCTTAGTGATTTAGCAGTCGTTGCAATGAGAATCATCACCCCGGCTTTCTAGATAGTTTTTTTTCTATGACTTGTGTCGCTGTCATTTCGTTTCGTGTTACTTGATTTCAGCACTATTCGTTTTTCTTCATAAGTTCTGAAATGACGTTCCCGTCCTCTTGCTAAATCACTCTAAAGATATTGTAATGCGCAAGTGAAAATTTTAATTGATATTTGTGCAATAGAACTTTAATAAATTATTATTATTCTTTGACAACTCCTATCAGATGAACTTCAAATGTTAATGTTGGTCTTTTAGTCCAAAATTCAATAAATTTACATGCGCCAAAGGATGCTTTTTAAGTACTGAATATACTCTTCATGGGAGATAGCATTTTTTTTCACCAGTTAGGCAGTCATTAGGTATAGAAACTTAAATTATCTCAAATCACCTGAAAGTCAAATTTTCCAAGCTTTGTTCCAAGCCCTCAAACTTGTGCAATAATTTGCTGCTAAAAATGACGATTTTAACGGAATTTTATTTGTATTTTTCTCTAAAATAAAAAGATATTTTGCCAAAAAAAGCATCCATTGATTTTAGTTATAGTCTAGCCTATCTAATATTAAAATATGAAAGAAATCGAATTTTTCACCCTTGCCGCGAAATTTAGGATTTGTCTGATTTTTACAGACAAGCGCTCTTAAGGTTTACATAAATTTTGTTGGGAAGCATATCTGGTGTTGTATCCATGAACACTACTTGCATATTGAAAATGATTTTGGAAGGGATCCACTTACGCAGGCCTTAGTGCCATAGATGCAAAAACTTTTCATCAAATTTGTTTATCAATACTACAACCATACCCATCTCTTAAATCTCCAAAGGATATATACATCACTGATGATGTGTGACACACAGTATCTAATTCTCGTTGTTCACTTTTACAAAGCTATTTTTCACTTAGTTACTTTACTTTACTAACTTTCATAGATGGTGCCTAGATTGCGTATGAAGCAAATTTTTCTTTTTCTTTTTCTGGCCGGTAGTTGTATTTGAGGCTTGAAATTATTGGTCTCAGTTCCTGGTGACTCAGTGACCATTTTTGTTTTTCATGATGTGTAATATTTTACATATTACAAATTTAAAATACAAATTACTTAGAACACTGAGAAATAGCACAAATGAAGAAGCTGGAAGCTAAATAGCTGCTAAGTTTTCAAGTCGGCTTCCAGTTTGCTTAAGTTGCTTAAATAACACAAATGAGGGAGAATAGAACTACACTTTAAGAAAATAGTAATAATGATAACAATGATGGTAATAGTAATGACGATAATGATAAGGTAGATATTAAGGCAAATGTCTTGAGTGTTGCACAAAGAAATTGAAGATTTTAAGTTATAATAAGTCTAGTAAGATTTTGTCATAAAGATTAGTTCCTGAATAGACATCTGTTTGTTTGCCAGAGATATTGCACGCTTAGGATTTACGTAAATTTTGTTGGGATGCATATCGGTCCTGTATCCATGAATACTACTTGCATATTGAAAACTGGAAGGGATCCACCTAAGCAGATCTTTGTGCTATAGATGCAAAACCTTTAAATTATTGTGTTAATACACATTTACCGTTCGAATGTCTAGAATGTTAAGCAGATGGAAGGCGCTATTTCTTTGGTTATGCAATGTACCAATAACAGTGGGGCAAAACTACCCTACGTTTGTTCTAAAGTGAGGAATCAATATTAGGGACCTCAAGCAAGGACAACGAGGAAGACGACGACGACGAATCGGAAGTAATTTTCCATTATCCAAGGGTAGTGCGCATGTCACGACGCCACTCCACTGTCCACCACTCGTTGTCCACTGGAAGTTCACAACGTGAAATCGTGTATTTCTACGTCGACTAGTTAACGTGAATATTCATTGGGCTATTTTTTCTCCGTTTGAAAGTTTTCGTCCCCAGAAAACCGAAACAATTCAGGAATATGCTATCTAAATTAGATAGAAATATTTTTTTATCATATTTTTCGCCGTAACGTTTTGTAAATCGCTTTATTTTTGTTTCTTTTTGTAGGCACTTCTTTAAGAATGGCGGCTGAAACTGGGTAGGTTTCAAGAGTTGTAATAAATTTGTTAAGGCGACGATTACCGTGAAGCTTAGAGTATTTAGTGAACTGAAAATTTTCCAGGTATATCTGTTCGTGAAAAAAACTTGCTTTATGACTCTCCATTAATGCCTGAATCCCCAGTTTGCAAATGAAAACATAGCTGTTTTGAATGCACTCTTAGGCGGGAAATTGCCGAGCGGACAGGCGATAAGTGAAAGACTGCTTAAAGTAAGGTGGACTTTCAAGTCCTCATACAATTTGTTAGGAAGGTTAAGTTAATCTGTATCACAAAAAGAGAGGGCAGCTGTGGCTATCATGGTCATAATTAGTCCGCGAAATCGTTTCATATTCTTCAAAATTCCATACATTACGAGAAGCAGTCGAAATGTAAACTAATATTTCTGTAGTTTGTATAATAAGGACATCGCAAGTGTCCCAGCTTCTCATACCTCAGAATTCGCAACATTTGTGCGCAATTTTAAAATTTGAAGCAGATGTATGAATTAAAGAATGGGCGATTGAACAAGTAAGCACTATTAAATGCAAAATTATCTGTGGGTTCAGGGCCATGCTTCCTCAAGAAAGTTTGAAATTTATGTCCTCGAAATTCAACTTCCAATTTTTCAGCTTCTTTAAAACGGGATTACTGTTGTACTAACTATCTAATCCTTGTGACCAATATACAAACAAAAACAAAAATTGGACTGTAGTTTAAAAGGTTGTTGTTTTTTAATTTTGATCACTGTTTCCCTTCCCACCAATTACTCTATGGAATGGTTAGAAAGTCATGACCTTGCCCTTTATGGAGAAGTGCTAGTGTTTGAGCCATTCAAATATCCTAAACGCAGCAAGGAACGAAGTGAAATTTGGGGGCGAATAGCTGTTAATCTGAACAGTCCGAGAAGTCAAAAATTTACAGTGTCGAAAAGATCTGTAAGAGATAGATTAACCCTGCTGCAAACTAAATATCAGTAGAAAATAAGAGAAAAAGAAAGGGCATCAGGTAAAGACTGTCAAAAAACCCAGCTTGATGCAGCACTAGAAGAAATAGCTGAAAAGGAAAGGGCTGCTGACCTGGAGAGAAAGGACAAGACTAGTGCTGTTAACAAGAAAAATAAGAGTGAGAAGACAAGTGCAGAAGAGGTTAGGCTGCAAGCCATGGAACGTCTTAGTAAGACACAGAAAAGAAATGCAGATTTAGGAGAAGAAAAGTCTAGTAAATACAGGAAGAGAAGTTCAGATGCTGTTGAATACCTGAAGGAAAAGTTTCAAGAAGAGAAGGAGCTAAGGAAGGAGGAAATTGAGTTGAAGAGGAAAGAGCAGCAAATGATGCTGGATCAGCGATTCAAACACACAAACAGCAGTTGGAAATGATGAACTTGATTCACAAACAAAATGAGGCTCTGATGGACTTGCTTGCAAAGGCTACATTTCAAAGTGACTATAAATTTAAGTTAGGAAACTCGATTGTTCAATTTGTTGTAAAAAACTGAAAACTGAATTTAGTGGTATGTCAAATGTGATTGGCAGTGTAGGGTAGTCCTGAAAAGGGCTGTTGCTGGGTAACATTGAATGGCATTTTGGCAACTGAAGAACCAGATACTTCAGCTTCAAGATGCCTGTGTGTTTTTAAATGTTAGTCATTTTCAACAACAATGGTCCTTTCCAGGATCATTCTAACCTACTTGACTGCACTAAACATACAAACGAGACTGTTGGGTTCAATCCATTTAGTAAGTTAGTAAGTTCAATATGAATTTGAGGAGTTGTATGTTGTTACATTCAAGAGACAGTGACAATTAAGGCAAACAATATTACATTTTGAAATTGCAACTGTAATACTGTTCACGGTGCATTTATTTGTTTTTCGTTGAGCTTCGTTTGACTTCATGTTAAAATCTACTTTTATTAGCCATTTGCATTATTTCTGCTGATTATGGCATTGGTTACTTATTCAGGGATGATTGTTTTTGGAGGGCAGGTTTGTTTTGGTGGGGAGAGGGCAAGGTACTCAGAGAGGAATGGTAGATTACACTTTTTTGTGAAAATAAACTATAAGTTTCCAATTACATTTGATTTTAATTACACGGACTATGTTTTGTACTGGAACTTTTAGCCACTTTCCTTCTTTACCTTTGCAGTTATAGATAAGAATCAAGTCTTGCTGAAAAATACCTTGACCCTTATATGCAAATTAAATATAGCATGAAGAACAGTTGTGAACACATGCTGTCCATTCAAGCATATCAGCATGTGCAAAATTTAGAATCTTTGAACAAAGTGTATGGCTTCCCATTGTTCCTCACAAAACAAGTATTTAATGATATCTAATTACCATCTATGTAGTAAGGTAATAAGTGAAATTGCTCTTATCAAGCAAAGTATTCCTGTAGTGATGGAGGGTCTAACTGAAAGAGGCAAGATGTCTGATTGCCATAGAGGCATGTGAGGGCATTTCGAAGGAGGGCAGTGACAACATAAATTTTGCCTACACTGCTAAGGCCAATTTTTAAGTTGTTTTTGAAGTCCAAGAACTTGAAGTAGTTAGTGATGTCATTGAATAGCCGCTCTACTGATTCTCTAACAGTGCTCATTGACTGGTTGAATTCCATCATTGGAGGAGTTAAGACTCCATTCCTGAAGGGAGCTATGAGGTGCACCCTTAAAGGGTAAGCAAGATCACCATAAATGCAATAAGGATTCCCCAAAGGTGAGTTTGCAACCGTCTGAAGGTCACTGAGAAGTCTTGAATCTGCAAGCATACGTGCATCATGCCTCCTTCCTTCTAAAAAAGGAACAAATATAATCTTTTTATATAAAAATGCTAAAGGTTTGCTTTTCTATTATGAATATCTTTGAAATTAGAGAAAACTCAAATCAAATGAAGTTCTAACCTACTGGGCCATATAGATGCCCTACGAGACCACTGGGAAGAGCAACACACTGAAACTTTAGGGCATGGACTCTCTTGTGACCATTATATACCGCCCGCTGATGTTCCCCTGGCCTGCATATTGGACGAACTGTTCCGTCAACAAATCCAAAACAATTATTCAAGGCAGTTCCCTGGGCAGCAATAGCGTCGTTATGTAATTGAAGGGCTTGCGGCGAAAGAATTTCGCGATTCCACTGCGTGATTCTGTGGCTGTGTACATCATACACATAATCAAGTACTTGATTGCTGATTATACTTAGTACAGGTACTGGCCTCCCAAATCGAGGAAGCATATCGCTATATCTGCATGGATAAGCCAACCTTCGCAGTAGGATGCAAAGGGCTTCCATTCCACTCGCAACGGATCTTTAGTAGCACGCATAAAGCTATCTGGAATTTGAAGGACCTCTGCGAGTAGTGGAAGGTCACGTTTTATGAATCAAAATTCTGCCACACACTCTGTATCGTTCATCTCTTCGAGTGAAAACCTGCCACAATTCTCGTAAGGAAAATCTGGATTTTTGGACTGTATTCTTCGTATAACAGCAACAGTTCTTCGTCATTTAAATATCCATGGAAGTGGCTAAGGAGAAAAAGCTCCTGAAGTTCGTAAAAAGAAACCATAAAGGTAAAACTGGAGCTCTGAAACAATTTTTTTCATTTGTTTATTACGTTGACGTTCACGTCGAGAGCAGCTAAAGTCCTTTTCGTCGACCGTGCTTAAGGTCCCTAATTGCTAAGAAGATACACATGTAAAGTGCATCTTCTCCTCTTCTTTGTTAACCAGTGTTTAGTTGGTAGTGCGGCTGTCACTTGGGATTGAAATTGACAGAGTATTCTTGGGTAAATCACAATTATTCTCTTGAGGGACATGGTGAGTGAGCATGGCACAACTCTTGCATCCCCAGCGTCTGAATAAGTCACGTAAAATACCATCTTTCTTTTGCTGTATTGTGAATCTCTCAATACCTGGGGACTTCAGGTTCCTTAGAACTACTTGGAAGTCTTTACTGAAAGTCCCACTACGCGAAGTTTTATTTTACCTCAGGGATGCAAAACAAAGCCTGGTTTGCTAAGCATGGTACCCCCGTATGCCGACCATTACGTGTTGCCCAGTCACGAAATCCCAATTCGCAACGTATCAACACGGTGGGGCCAGACCACCCCTTCTATGTTGCATGACAAGAGTGGGTAGTCTTAATTTTTCCAAATAGCGCTAAAAACGTCTGCACAGGCTTCCGAGTTCCACCCTATTGGAATTTAGTCCCAAAGCAGCCGACTCTCAGTTGATATGGTAGGGAACTTTTATGAGCTATTCAGATTTGAGTTATTTCAAGAAAGTTGAAAATATTAGCTTTTTGTTGATGAAGGATCAAGGCAACTTACATAGTTGGAAAAATGGCATGTTAGGAGACAAAAAAGCCAAGTAATGGTGGCAAGGGCTTTATGTAATCATCTTTTTTGAACTTTTTTCGGAGTGTAATGAACTTCAATAAAAATCTGAAATGATATGATGTCAGTTCAAAGTCTCCTTTCATTAAATATGTATTTTTTTGTCGCTTCTGTCTTCTCTCGACAAAAATAAAACATGGCGTTTTCAGTCCACCATCAACAAAACGAAGATTTTCGATTGGAACTTACTAATGCACCAAGAAGGAAAGAGTAACACTCGAGGCAGCCAAGCATACAGGATTTGTGAATTAAATGATGTATTTTGATTTCAATTAGATTCTAATCTGAACTTAATTTTAAATTAAGTAGATTGTGTATTCTTTACTTTCTTTCATTTTCTGTTCAATTTAGAGTGCCATTAATAAACTCAAATAAATCTCAAGCAAATGCATTGACACCAAAATAAATTTAGTTATTATACTTTGGCCAGTAACTCCATGTGGAATAAAATAATGATAATTATTATTATTATCATCATTATTATAATTATTATCATTATCATTAATCATTGTAGTCTGTAGTCTGCAGTCTCCTTGAATATTCAGAGCCAGTTGTTCTTGGGTCAAATGTTTGTAATTAACAAATATATTTTTATTAAGTAGATCACTGAACTTGAAGCTATTATTGCCAAGGACAACACGAGTCCAGTCCAAACCAATAGCCTCACACACCACGTGTTACCAGTAAAATACAGGAAATTCCAGTGAAAGGCTTGGGAATCTTACAAGGTTTCAGCTATTACGAAGGAAAAATAGTCTGGGAGTAAATGTCATAAAATAAGGTCCCGTGTGAAGTTCATGCTGAAAGCAAGCACCTATTGTAAAAGTGTTCATTAGGTCCTACTAAACATGAAAAGTTTTGGTGCCAGCTTTGCCACTTGCTCAGGCGGCTTTTAAGGGGGGGTTAAATTCTGACCCATGAAATCCAGCGTGAAAACGAGGCTAAAACACATAATTCCTCCTAACTTTGTTGATAACAGACGAAAATACACCAAACTTGCTCACATGATTTAATTTACATAGGTCACGTGACCTTACGCATGAAAGCGAGGCTGAAACACATAATTTACTATAAATTTGCCAAAAAAAATCCCTATCATGCCAAACTTGCTCACCTTAGTAAGTTAGACATCTTGCATCGATTGGTGCCACTTTGTAGTGTCAGGTGACCCCATAAATGGAAATGAGGCTGGATTGCAAAACAGGCCAAAGGTGAACACAACATCCAGGACGATAACGTTGACTCATTGTAATGCATACTAATGCTGTATGTATAGCATTTGAATAAAAAAAATAAAAGCTAAAAAGGTGTAACGATAATGTATTTCGTGTGGCTTATATAACTTTATTATGAGCGATCTCTACAATCCTATTTCGCACAAATTCCTGTGGATTCTTAATCTAGGGAGCCTGGGTGATAGTGAGCCTGGGTGATTGTGAGCCTGAACTATTGGTCAGCGGTAATTATTTGAGTGTCCGCCATGTTGTACTTACAGTCATCACAGTGCTTGTAGTATGACGGATTCTGGCCCGTCTAATGCTCCTTTAGATTTTAAGCTATGTAAAGAAAAAAGCACAGCCAATCTTGTTCGAAATCCAACTTCCCATCAAAAGCTTTTATGAAGCCATCGAAGAACGTTCAAAGTACGAGGACATCAACTCGAAAACATTGTGGCTTGTGCTTAAAGATCTACCACTAGAAGAGCTTAAAGAAATAGCAACATGGCATAGGTCGTGCTACCAAGAAACCACCCACTAAGGAAAGATCAAGAGGGTAAAAGAGGGGTTTCAGAGAGAGGTTAGAGGGCCAAATGAAGCTCGAAGAAAGACAAGTGAAT